TTTTGCTTCAGAAGGTAACATTCATAGGTTCATGGGTTTATTACCTGATATATTTAGGGGATCATAACATAGTATTCTTAATAAGAGGGTACTTTTCCTTAAAGTGATGATTCAGAATTTTTTTAATTGTCTTTTTATTTTAATTGTCTTTTTTCCTTCCTTCCTTCTTTCCTTCCTTCCCTCTTTCTTCCTTCCTTCTCTCCTTCCTTCCTTTCTCCCTCCCTCCACCTCCCTCTCCCTCTCCTCTGGTTCTTTTTCTCTCATTCTCTCTTTTTCTCCTTCTCCCCTTCTTCCTGTCTTTCTTTGATCTGTGCCATCTGAAACACAAATATCCCAAACTTTCTGTCTTTTTGCATCGAATTGGAAGGGGAAAGAGCAGAAAAGATCACAAATGGAAATTGGTTAGGTGTGAAACTTCTCATATTATGATGAGGAACTTTTCATTTATCCAAATATAACTGCAGAAATAAAAATGGGAAGCATAATTTACCTGTGTGTCTAGAAAGAAAAATAAGCAAGGTTGATTCATCTGTTTATAATCTCTGCTGTATTATTCTAAGTAACAGTTTTTTTAGTGATATGGAATGAGAGTTTTGAATTTACACCTTCCTCCTTCCTAATAATGGGCACACAGGCTCAGATCTATTCATTGAGCGTTTTTCTTCTATTCCTTAACATCTTGTAGATGTTATTTAGTTGTGATTTATTCATTCATTTATTCACTCAAAATACCCATCACTTACTAGATATCAGCAACTCTAGTAAAACACATGTATTGCCTTGATTTTTAGAGAATAATGTTGGTTTAGTGTGAAGATTGAATTGGAGAGAAGAAAGACCTTCTGTAGATACACTAAAGAATGTTTCTGAAATTCAGAAGAGGCATGATATTATCTTGGGTGAGAGCGGTAGGTGAAGGAAGATGCGAAGGATTAGAGATGGTACAGCAGCACATAGGAGTGTATCATCTAGGGGAGAAGTGGGAGTCAGCAAGTGTTCTAATTCTTATTTATAGAAAAAAGGTGAGAAATAAGAATATCAGAATTTGGTGAAAAGTAGATGATGAGTTTATTTTTGTTGGATGCCCTGAGAAGGAGGAAATCACCCAGGTTGATACACCGTGAAGGGTGTCGGTCATGGGAATCTAAAGGTCAGGCGTGAGGTCTGTCCTGCAGCTGTGGGCTTGAGAGTTGTCAATACCGTGAAGTTGTCTGAGCACATTCAGTTATCAGGGAAACCACATAGAACAAGAAGAGAGAAAGGCTCAGGAAAAGACTCAAAATGATAGTACCCAAGAGCAGGACTGGGTGCACTTCTTCTGTGTAGGGCCAAGCAATAAGTATTTAACATTTTTGAAGGCCATATGATCTCTGTTGTATCTACACAACCCTGCTGCTATAGCATGAACACAGCCATGGACAATATGCTAACACATAGGCAGAGCTGTTCATTTTTTGAAATAACACTTTATTTACCAAACAATCCAAAAAGTAGGCCAGATTTAGCCCAAGGGTCATAGTTAGAGGGTCCTTGCTCAAGAGGATGGAAAAGAAGCGGGAGAGCCAGGAAAGAAGACAGAGATGAAACCGGAGAGAGTGTGGTGTCAGAACCCAGTGGGGAAGAGTTCTCCAGGCTGTGGAGGTGCCTGGATTTTAAATGTGATGACTGAAGGTGGAAGACTTCCAGATCAGTCTGATGTTCTTTACCCAACAGTGGACCTTAAACTGATCACACTATATCCAGGAAGAAATTGGCAGCTTTTTTTTTTTTAAGGTGGAATATAATTGCTTTACAATGTTGTGTTGGTTTCTGCCACCCAACAGCGTGAATCAGCCTTAAGTATACATATGTCCCCTCCCTCTTGAAACTTCCTCCCACCCGCCCAGGCTGTCACAGAGCGCTGGGTTGAGTTCTTAGAGCGCTGGGTTGAGTTCTCAGCGTTACACAACAGCTTCCCACCAGTTATCTGTTTTACATAAGGTAATGTATATGTTTCAATGCTACTCTATCAATTCGTGCACTTTTGACTGTCCCTTATGAAAAATTGGAAGCTCAATTATTCCTAAATTTCCATTTTGTAAGACTCGTTAGTTTATATAGATTATTAGACACATTTAGAAATCATTTCTATCTCTTGCATTTATAAAAGCACATTCCTAGTATCTATTTAGAGACAACTCAATAGTCTAACTTCAGAGTTAACAGGATATCCTTTGTAGATTGTTGTCAGCTGCCAGTAAATTTGGCAAAAATGTAGAAAACAATACATTTTAATTTACAGGGTTTGAGTCATTATTCATCACTCGTGTGTGCCAAGTCACATGAGCTACCCAAACTACTCAGTCTGTCTGTAGACTCTGCACAGCGTCCTGTCCCCAGGTCCCATGCACGTGCTAGAACATTCCCAGCACTTCCTTCTGTAGGCATGTGCAATACTCATAGCTTCCTTTTGTGAGAAACCATCATGCACAGAAATATGTCTGTGAATGTCCCATTTTAAGAACTTTGGGCTTCAGTTATTTTCACAGATTCCTCTTGTCTTCCAGTTTTTACAAGTGCTTTGGGATTTGGTCTAAAAGTACGCATCCTTATCTTGTGATTTTTATTTCTTTCCTTTTCTTTTCCTAACTAAAAAATACTTATGTGGTATAAATGATTACTCCATTACTTAAAAATCTAGTATTTAATTCATTTGCAGATTGATGAAATATGTCTTCAAGTAATTTTCATGGAATCTTTACATATCAGTGAATATAATTCCAGTAACTTCACAGAAAGATATTAACTTCACTGTGTATATTTTGCCATACTCTTCTCTCTCTGTTAAACATCACTTGGTGTTTTAAAATTTTCTTAGATGTGGTATTAGATGCTTAATGCCTAGTTTTCATTTCCTTATAAATAACCTGATTATTTCTCTCCTTTTATCTTTGTAGAAATTCATTCTTTAAGCATTTACAAAAAGCATCATTTGTTTTTCTTTCATTTCATCTTAGTTTTATCTTAAATATTTATGATTAGTTTTGTCCACTTTTCTAATTTCTTTCTGATGAAATGCCTATTGGCCCATCATTTAATCTCATTGTCCGTTTTACTCTTCATAACTAATTATATTTTCTGTGGTAAGATTCTAGTTCTTTGAGACTTCCAAAAGAGAGATTGAAATCTAATTTAAAATTTTAGTTTCTTTACTAGAGAAACGTCACAGCTTATTTCAGTCAGCTTCCTTTTCATTTCACTTTATATACTAGTCTGTTGCTTTCCTTTTCATATTTTTTTCTGTTTCTTATAGTCCAAATTTTATTTTATATTTTTGATAATAGATTCAAATAATTTAACTTTTCATTTTGTTTTGGGTATTTATTAAACTTTTTTAAAATATTATTTCATTATATATATAGACATCAGATTGCAGAATTGTTTTTCATGCCGCACTTTTATTTTCAATTTAGTGGCCCTTGGATTCCTCATTGTTTATTTGAGTGTTAGCATAATATTTTTTCAGGTTTTAAGCTGACTGTCATTTATATGTAAACCCCTGTTTTAGTTTGAATTAGACTCATTTACTGAAACAGGCTTCCCAGGTGGTGGTGCAGTGATATAGAATCCGCCTGCCAATGCAGGAGATGCTAGAGATGCGGGTTCAATTCTTGCGTCAGGAAGATTCCCTGGAGAAGGAGATGACAACCCACTCCAGTAGTCTTGCCTGGAAAAATCCTATGGACAGAGGACTCTGACGGGCTACAGTCCCTGGGGTCACAAAAGAGTTAGACATGGCTGAGAGTCTGTGTACACACACACACCACAAAACACAGTTGCTTAAATAAGATAGAAATGCAGGTCTCATGTAAAAGTCTGCAGGTTAGTTATTCAGGCTGACAGACTGACAAGATCATCGGAAGCCCAAGTTCTTTCCATCATTTCATTTCAAAGAATGTTTACTTTATCTGTCAAGTCAAAGCTGGGCCTCTATTGCACCATGTTTCCGTCTGAGAGAACGGGAAAGATAGCAACTGAAAGTCAGATACTTTTCTTTTTTTGTTTTTAATTTATTTGTTTTAATTGGAGGTGAATTACTTTACAGTATTGTGGTGGTTTTTGCCATTCATTGACATGAATCAGCCGTGGGTTCTCATGTGTCCCCCATCCTGAACCCCCCTTCCACCTCCCTCCCCATCCCACCTCTCAGGGTCATCCCAGTGCACCGGCTTTTCATGCTCTGTTTCATGCATCAAACTTGGACTGGTGATCTATTTCCCATATGGTAATATACATGTTTCAATGCTGTTCTCTCAAATCATCCCCCCACTCTCACTGTCTCCCACAGAGTCCAAAAGTCTGTTTTTACATCTCTGTCTCTTTTGCTGTCTCACATATAGGGTTGTTGTTATCATCTTTCTAAATTCCTTATATGTGCATTAATATATTGTATTGGTGTTTTTCTTTCTGACTTACTTCACTCTGTATAATAGGCTTCAGTTTCATCCAGCTTATCAGAACTGATTCAAAGGCATTCTTTTTAATAGAGTAATATCCCATTGTGTATATATACCACAGCTTTCTTATCCATTCATCTGCCAATGGATAATTTTCTTTCAAGCTAGTTGCTTAGGAGTCATAAGCATTATTTCCACTCACACATCCTCAGTGAGAACTTTATTATCTTACCACCATTAGCTGAAAAAAGAAGCTGGATAATGTAAGCTTTAATTAGGTAACTATGTGCTCAGTTAAAACCCTATTACTATGGCAACAGGAGAAATGGAATTGGATGGAAAATGGCCCCAACCTTTAATGATTCTGTTTACAATTCTGTTTAATTTTTTTCCCTAGATAATATGTATCAACCGTCAACTCACTTTTCTTGGAAGCTCTGGAGTAAATGTTTCCCTAAGCTCCACCTATCTCTTTCTCGGCTTATTGTTGATGTCACATCTCAGACTGTAATGCCTTGCTCTCTGTTCTCTTATACCAGGTTCTATCTTAACTTTAGTCCCTGAATGTTCATAAACAGAAGTGCTGAGAGAAGGAGTTGTCTTCAGCCCCTTCAAAGAATCATTGAGAAATTTACAGCAGACGTGGTGGAAGGTGAGGAGCAGAGGGACACCTGCTTTTGTGTATTAAATGACAGGAAAATGACACTGTACAAAGTGGCTAAAGATATTGGATGGAAGGAGAAACTTTAGCCTCCTTTGCTCTAGAGATGAAAACACGTTATTGAAATCGCTGAGGAAAAATGAGAACAGGATCAAAACCTCATAACTTAGTGTTCAGAATGTGAAGTCTTTTCTCACACCACACACCATCAGTCACTCAGTGATTCTTTTCTCAGGTTTGAGAGTAAATTTACTGCCATGAGGCCTTTCAGAGTTGCACATTTTATGTATGCAACTGTTGAAGTTATGGTTAGTAATTTATTTTCCCAGGAGGGGGTTTATAGAGAGGAGGCTGTGTTTTTCTTATCAGTTTACATGACAGGGAGCTACATATTTTGAAACAAAAAAAGTCACAAAAATGTTTGCATGTTTTTCATTTAGAGAAATAGTCTTTGGTTTTATGATATGGTTATATTACTGTGCTAAATGCTTCAGGATATACAAAGATAGATAAATTGTAACAATAAAGTAAAGGGATTAATTTTGGTTTTCTTCACAATCATGCCAGTATTTGAACGGTGACAAAGAGACATGTCACCGTTCTGCAGACATATTATGCAAACAAAATTCAATCTATGAAGTAATTTCCGATGGAGATTTTAGTACAGGTAATTTCAATAGTAGTGTAATTTAACAAATAACATTTTAGAACTTCTGAGGATCTGGTTTTGCATTAGAACTACGTTACTATTTTCCAAAGATAACTCATCCTTTTTTTTCTGTTGTTGGCAGTGGATTTAATATTGGTAAATTGCCAAAAGCATTCTTTTCAAGTTCATTATATATAATATATGCAAGCACATTTAATATATGCAGGAACATTTGCTAATTCTATTTATAGTTACATGTGAAGTGACAGCAATGTGAAGAAACTGACTTTACTTCATAAGGGACAACCTCAATGACTGATGCTCCAGGCTAGGCAATAAAGCATGTTAAATGTGTCAGTCCTTCTTAATCAGTTAATTAATTAATGTTAAGTTAATGAAATTTAAGACAGTGCTCACTTTAAGCTTAAAAAATTATACATCAAATTTTATCTGGGTGAATAAATTGCCAAGGGATTTTTGAAAAAGAAAACAATGATTGGGAACTAATTTAACTAATATGAAATTTTATGTATAGATATATTAATAAAATCATTCTGACACAGTTGTAGATACAAACAAGTGTGATAGGCCAGGATGAAGAGTAGGGAAGTAGAGCCCAACATGTATGATATTATATAACAATTAGAATTGTAGAAAAAGATTTTAGATTTCTGTTTCATACTATGTAAGAATAAATCCCTAAGAGTTCTCCTTAAGCTTTTAAATATGTGGTTAAATTTTCCTTTTAAAGCATTGGAATGTTTGTGTAAGATGTAAAAGGCTTTCTTTGTTCCAAATAGTGATATAGTATTCCATTTTAATGTTTTTATAATTTTTAAGATGTTTATTTCTTCCTTGTGAATAATAAAATTTTTTAAATGAAACCATAAAATTGAAAGAAAACAATTGGGAAAATAGATGCAACACTCATTTGTAGACAATGAATTGATATTCATAGTGCTAAAATATATTTTATAAAAAAAAGAAGAGATACATGCACCTATAGCTTATAATAAATTTTTTGTTTATTCAATTCAAATTATTTCCTCAACTTTATATTCAAATGTTAGATTTCATTCTTTTTTTTTAACAATTAAAGAAGAAGAAAATTGAATCAAATACCTCTTGCCATAAGAAAGAATTTTATCTCTATATTGAGTCTCTTTTTCTTACTCAAATAAACAGCAATAAATAGACTGTACATTTTTAAATGTACAATTTGATGTGTTTGCACTGTGCATACATCCATGCAACAATTGCCACCCACAAAATGGTGAATGTATTCATCACCTCAAAGCTTCCTTAAACTATTTTGTAATCCCGCCCACCCATCTCATACTCTCTCAAGCAAAAAAAGTCACAAAAGTTTTTGTGCATTTTTCATTTAGAGAAATAGTCTTTGGTTTTATGATATGGTTAATTACGGTGCTAAGTGCTTTGGGACGTACAAAGATACATAAATTGCCTCTCTACCACTAGGCAACCACAATCTCTTTTCTTTCATAATGGATTAATTAATTTCTCTAGAATTTTAGATAAGTGGGATATATGCTGTGTCCTTTTTTGGATGTCTTTCTTCTTTCACTCAAAATACATATTTTACAATTGATCCATGTAGCATGTATGAACAGTTTATTCCTTTCTGTTGCTAATTAGTGTTCCATTGTATAGATATACTGAAATTTGTTTTTCCAATTATTGCTTGGTGAATATGAAGTTGCTTTCAGTTTGGGGGTATTACAGTTCTCTTAGGTAATTATCTAAGAGGAGAATGGGTGGATTGTATGTTAGGAAGGTAGTTTAACTTTAAAGGGCATTGCCAAACTCTTTTACAAAATGGTTATAAAATCTTGCATTCCTTCCATCAGTGTATGAGTTTCAGTTCCTCCAAACCTCACCAATACTTGAAATAGTCAATGGTTTTAATCTTAAAAATCCTAATAGATGTACAGTGGTAGCTCACTGCGGTTTTAATTCACATTTCTCTGTCTCATGATGTTGATCTTTCCTATGTTGTTATGTATCTTCTGTATACCTTGTTTCATGAAGTGTCTATTCAAATCTTTTGTCCAATTTCTCCACTGTTGACTTGCTTGTTTTCTGATTTTTGAGTTTTAACAGTTCTCATATATTTTAGCCCTTTATCAAATATGTAACTTTCAAATATTTTATCACTATATTTGCTTTTCTTTTCATGTTCTTAACCATGTATATTGAAAAGCAGTTTTCAATTTTAATGAAGTCAAATTTGTAAATTTATTCCTTTATGGATTGTGTTTTTGTGTTGTATGTAAGAAAATGTTCCTAATTGAAGTAAATATTTCTTCAATTTTTTTCCCCTAGAAGTATTAGAATTTTAGGTTTATATCTAGACATAAAACTTGTTTTCAAATAATTTTTATGTTTGGTGGGAAGTATGGCTCAGGATACTTCCCTGGTGTCTCAGTGGTAAAGAATTCACCTGCTGATGCAGGAGACAGTTTCGATCCCTGGTAGAGAAGATCCCCTGGAGAAGGAAATGGTTACTCACTCCAGTATTCTTCCCTGGGAAATCCCATGAACAGAGGAGCCTGGCAGGCTACAGTCCATGGAGTCACAAAGAGTTGGACAGGACTGACTAAATAGCAACAATGGTGCAGAATCCCTTTTTTTCCTTTTCAACAGATAAATCCAGTTGTTCCAGCACCATTTCTTAGAAAGACTATCCTTTATTCTCTGAATTATCTTTGCAACTTTGTCGAAAATCAGTTAACCATTTGTGTGTTAGTCTCTTGATCTATTTGACTATCTATATGAAAACACAACACTTCCCTGAAGGCTGTAACACTTGCTCCAGAGCTGAGCGAGACTGATGGGCAACATCTGAGCTTCCCCTTGTATGGCTCTGCAAACTCCCTTCAGGCATTTTCTGGGGCAATTGTAGTCCCCTCATTTGTTCACTTCTCTCAGGGATCACTGTAATGTGCTACTGTTTAATGTTTGAAGTCTATTTCTCATCCATTTTGCTTGGTGTTACGGTATTTTAAGGTGGGAGGGTAAACCCTGTGCCTTTTACTCCATCTTGTTCAGAAGTAGAAATCCATACTTATCTCTTTTGACAATCTTATCTTTCAATTGGGGTATTTATGACATTAATGATTTAATTATTCATAATGTTTCAATTGTCATCTATAATTTTATTCTTTTCTCTGTTATACCTGTTATCTGCATTCCCCTGTCCCTCCTTATTTTGACTGATTTAAATATTTGTAGAGTTCCATACTTATTTACTTATAGCTTTTAGCTATACCACTTTACCTTTTCTGTTTTACAGTAGTTAAAAAATTATTTTTTAATGTTGTTTACAAGTCTAAATTGTCTTTGTATAAACAGTACAACAATCTTTTTTTGTCTTTTTTTAACATTTTTTTTCTTGATCTCTGATTAAAATTGAACTGATGTAATTTTTAATCTTACGTTACAAGTTCAGCTAGTAGGACCAGTTTTATCATTTAGGTTGAAGGATGGGAATAAAGATCTGGGCTGGTAATGATTGTGTCTTGGGCATAGATTTTATATGAGGACACAGGATACGAAGATCATAGGGCTTCAGGATGATACTACCTAGCTAGTGATGTTTATGATAATTCTTATTTTCTTAATAGCTGCTTTGTAAACAGGTGAACCCTTATCTATTTCCTTCACTTGAGATGAGTTTTGCAGTGTTTCCTGGTTACTGTTTAAATTCACAAGGCTTGATTGGCTTCAGTCAATCTCTTTATGCCTTATCGAAAGTTAATAGCATCATATTTTTGACATTTTTTAATGACATTCCATTTCAATTTTACATTTCTACTCTGTATTCTCATAGCTGCATGACCTTGGGCAATTATTTAATTTCTCTCAGTCTCATTTTCTTCATATGTAAAGTGAAGATGGTAATAGAACAGGTTCAGAAAGATGCTATAAGCATTAAATGATTCAATATATGTCGAGTGCTTAGTTTAATGGGTGATGGATCATAATTTCAACTAAAATTGTTATTAGTAAAAAGTGCTGCTATTGACCTTCATACTAATGCAAAGACTTTGAGCTTTCTTTCCTAATGAAGGAACTCCATTTGTGATGGTGTGTTCACACACACTCAGTCAAGTCTTACTGGGATATACAACATATTTACAGTGGCTTTCCTTGCTAATTTACACATTTCTCAGATAGATTGCCTTAATGTGATATGAAAACACCCTAGTACATGGGTGTTTCATTCATTCACTGAATCTCTGTCATATATCTGTATTTGTTTATTTTACTACTAGGTGTTGCTTCTACACAGATAAAGGGAAAATGACCAATTGGTTTTGTT